TACGTCCCACATATGCCCACTTGGTCGACCATTGAGGGGGGGCTACATCAAGGTCCTAATAGCCTTCCCAGATGTTCCACTTCACTTCTATTGCATTGTATCTGTTCTATATAAAGAAAAAAGCTATCCAATTTGTTTTTAAAGTCAGTCAAATAAGAACGTATAATCATGTCCTAAATAATGGCCTAACTTAGTAATACATCGTTAACTACGGATAATTAAACCTAGGATCTAGAAAAAGGCCTAATCCATTAAAGAATGGAATATCTAACCAATATCTCTTATATTTTTCTTCCATACTGAAACAATTTCACTAAAAATGTTATCATGCTATATTGATAAAAAGTTTGCAATTTGAACTAAAATATCTAACACTAAATTAGTAGTTGGATAATAAATACCACTTAATGTATTAGTAGCATCATAAAAATTTTTAAGAAATGAATAAAAAAGTTCACAAAACCCCCAATCATCATAATCGACAACTTCCTCTGGATAGGTCTTCCGGTTGACGAAATCTGTAATTTGTTTCGCGGTTGGCAAAGCTTTTCCAACTCAGTAGGTAGAGTTCCAACGGATAGGCATGTCTGTACATAATTCAAAGGTCGAACCGGTGGGTCCTCTTGCACAATATTTGACGTACTCTTGCACTTTTTATTGCTACTGCCGACGATAAATCGATAGCTCTACGCACCCTCTCAATCCTTGAAGTGATAGCATCTAAACCTGCTTTAACTATCAAATTGATGATGTGACACACATCTCTGGTGTAAAATTTGCCTCACCAAGTGGATCCAATTTCTTTTCAAATAAAGATATTGCGCGGTGTTAGAGCTGCATTATCAAGTGTTAGCGCTACAAATTATCAGTTAATAAATTCTTGCAAAACTTCAGAATCGTAAAATAAATAGTTTCAGCACTATGTTTTTCAATAGGTTTAAAACCTATCAATTTTGTTGTAAACCCAATTATGATCTAAGAAATGTACTGTAACAGTTAAAAAATTGGTTTTGATCTACAAGCCCATATGTTGATGTAAGTGCAATAGATATATTCTTAAAATTTTGAAATTCGTTTTTAAGTTTATATTTATTTTGTTATAAAGTTTTAGTATATTCTTCTACTTGTAGTTCTACTAACAGGGGTATATGCTGGACAAAAAGCAGTTTTAACCATATTAACAAAAAAGGATTTTCAGATAAACAAATGGGAGAGTCTGTAGCAACTATATATCTTGCTATTCTCTCGTGTGCAACATGTGTATTGTATTGCCATGTGAGAGAGTTGGGATTGTGGATTAAAATTAAGTTGAGTTTGATTTGTACCTGATCCGCTTGAAGATGCATTTATTTGGGGATGCTTCTTCTCTACGTGTCGTCGCATCATCGAAGTCCCCTTTCAGCCCCAATAATGGTTCCAATAAATACATATCCCACACGATTCTTCCCCCTCCCATTTGTCTTTGGCGTTTTGATTTGGTGAAGTATCGCCAGAGCTCGGACACGACCCTCTTTGACGGTCGGGGGGTTGGGCTATGTCCGTGCCCGTTGACTCGCACGTCACATTGTTTGGCTACACCTTGTCCCGGCCGAATGGGTGTGGAGTTACAGCTGCATCCTCTGGAGGAAATGGTGAAAATGGATTGAAGGCTTCAATTTCTGGTGGATGGAACGTAAACTCATTGGGGAAGACATTATAAATTTATGATAAAATAATAAATTAAAAAAAATAAAAGAAATTAAATAAATATGAATGATGTGATATTGAAAAATAGAAAAAAATTTGAATAATATAAATAAATTATAAATATAAATTGAATGAGAAATTGATTGGAGATTTGGAGTAGAGAGTTGAGAGAATGAAAGAATGAGGATTGGTGTGAAAAAAATTAAAGGTTTTAGGGTTTATAGTGTAGTTGTGGGGGGGGGGGGGGGGGGGGGGGGGAAATGAAAAAAAAAAAACTTGTATTATATAAATAATAAATGTAACCGTCGGCACTTGGCAGTTACCGTTGGCTGCCAACGGTTATAAATTAAAATATAACCGTTGGCAGCCAACGGTTATTATTATTTTTTTTTAATAAATTTTGTAAAAAAATTTTTAGTCCTTGAATTTATACTTATTTTAGGGGGTTTAATGTAATTTTACAAAGGATTAAATTGATAAAAGACAAAAAACTTTTGGGCCTAGGCCTGGGACCGGGCCCAGGCCCGGGCCTTGAAGGAGGGCCCGGTGGAGGGCCCGGGCCCGGGCCCTCCTCCTTAGGCCTGGTCCCGTTTTGGGACCAGGCCTCCTAGGACCGGTTTTTGGAGCTGGGCTTTTGGGCCCGGTCCCAAATGCCCAGCTCTAGCATATAGCTAAAAAAATTCATTATTTTCTTAAATTTTTTTACCAATCCACTTGACAACTTTCTGGTGTGTATTATCCTACTAGTCCGTTGGTAATACATACAATTATAAAAGTTTCAGATTTATTTAGAAAAAACAGAAACAATGAAATTTTAGGTGAACCAACAAAGACAATGAATTTTTTTTTTTTTTTTAAAATATTGGAAACCCATTCCTTTTCTTTATTGTTTACGTGCTATATTTGATCCTAGAATTAAAGTAGCAGGTTTAGAAAATGGTTTAGACACATTAACTGAAAATTTACAAAACGAAGCATATGCCAATCAACTAGGAGAGGTAAAAGAGTGTCTCACAGAGGTATATTTGCAATATAAAAATAGGTATGGGAACCAGCAAAGAGTTGAAATATTCAAGGAAGTTGCATTAGAAGAAACAAATGAAGACTTCGACTCCTGGAGTGAACTTAATAGGCCGAAGAGGACGCGAACCTGAAGCACAACCTCCTCTTCAGAAGCACCAACAACGAATGTACTGTCCTCCATGCAGTCACAGAGTAATGAGCTTCAACAATATTTGGGAAACCCCGAAGTGTTACCAGCAGATCTACAATAAAGAGCCAACTTTGATTGCTTAAAATATTGGAAAACCAGAAAATGTATTTTTCCGGTATTATCAAGACTTGCCGTGGATGTTTTCGCTATTCTTATCTCAACCGTCTCATCCGAATAAACATTTAATGCAAGTGGAAGAACTTTAAATGAAAGGAGGACTAAATTTTCACAAAAAATGATTGAAGTCCTCACATGTCTTTGAGATTGGGAACGATCGTGCTATCAGGATCAATATGAGGTTGTCAACAATACTTTAATAAAATTGTTTCAACTTTGTAATACAGATGATACAGATGAGGGAAGTCCTAGTCAACCCCCAAATTAGTTGTTTTGTAAATTGTAACTTGTAAATTAATTATCAATTATTGGCCTTTTTTTTCCTTACCAAGTTTTTGTCCTATTGGGTTTTTCTTGGTAAGGTTTTTAACGAGACAATAATTGTTATAATTTCTTATTTTATTTTTTGATAAATGAATAAATCTAATTTTTCTTATATTACAATTTTATTGTATTAAAATTGAATTAATATTTGAAATGTTAACAAATAATAATAATAATAATAATAATAATAATAATAATTTAATTGAATTATTGATATTTGAAAAGTTAACTAAAAACAATTACACAAAAGAAAAAATTAAAAAACAAAAAATTATGGGCTACCCCAGCCCGGCCCGCATCATAACCCATTGGGTTAGGATTGACGGGTTGGGTTGGGTCAACCTTTTTGGCCAAGAGGGGGGCCTAACCCGCCAACCCCATAACCCGGGTTGGGTTGGACCGGTCAGGTCAATTTTCCACCATTACTTGTCCCTCTCCATGCCTACATGTTTCACACGTCTTCCTTAATAAGACGGTCTTGTAAATTGTTGCAATGAATAATACTATAGCATGACTTTGAATGAGCACAAATACACGGAAAGATAAATACAAAATGATCTAAACAAACAATGGAAAAGGACTGTCGAAGCAGCGCCCTACGCAAAAATGCAGGCACGTACGCCTCAAAACTAACGACCGTCAGATGAAAACAAGGCGGACCGTCAAAGAGTTGACAACATTACCACATTGAGGCGGTGACTTGTAACAGCTACTCACGTTTGTAGAAATTTCCAACTTTACATGCTTCCCTAAAACGACAGCTTTCTTGGGGAAGGCGTCTGCCGTTTTGGCATGTGAGAAAAGTAAAAGAAAGTGAGATTGGATTTGATCAGAAATCACATGGGTTTTGTTTAAAGGATAAATGCCCACTACCATTGTCTGTCTATGTGGCCACCAATTTTTCTTTTTTGGCAAACTTGAAGAGTCGGCCATCTCTTTTTTCTTACACTGTCCTCATATTTTAATCTTTACCTCTTTCTTAACCAATTTGGCTTCTACCCGGTTTTTTCTTCTTTTTGACTATGTTACTTGTATTATATTATTAATAGGGTTAGTTTAATCATCTCAAATCCAATGGTTTAAGAGATAATTTAAATATATTTACATTTAATAGATTATGAATAGTAGGACGATGAAACATTTAAATTTAAATACTAATTACTTGAAGTCGATAATAATTTCCTTAAATTTTTTATGATTTATCTTTCTTTTTTAATGTTAATCTTAATTTATTTTGGGCTATTGAGCTAGGGTTAATTAAGTAAAAACCTACGAATTTAACGGATTTATGAACTTCATTAACGGATATATGTAACTTTATTATAAACCATGTAAGTTAGGATAGTAGTGGGGTTGTCCTCAACAACATAATTGGGTAATTAAGTGCTTTAAATTGGAATTAAAAATGTATTGATTGCTTGAAAGATGGAAACTCTTTTGAGTTAAAAGTTGGTCATTAATGTTTTCCTTTGAACAAATATAATATGATTAACATATAGAATCAGAGTAAGCCAACTACAAAAGTCAAATAGATCTTTGCCTTTAACTTTACATCAAACGTCCCCAACAAACTTGGAATCAACGAAACCACCACTTGTATTTTTTTTTTTTTTTTTTTTTTTAAGGAAAACAAAAAACATATTTTTTCTCAGCTTCTTGTGGCGTTTACGTTAAGCTATGAAACAAAATCTTACAATTTACAAAAGCACTGAAGGGTTTTCTCCTTTACATTTAAACAAACTAAAACCGTATCCCATTTTCTCACTCTTTCCTCCATAATTTCAAGCTCATTCTCAACAACGTTTCATTTTCCAGATAAGTTTTTATTTTCAAATTGTTTCATTTTCTTGAAACAAGTTTTGCAACGGTGTTTATTAGCTGAATTGCGTGCTAGTTGGTTTCTCTCTGAATTGGGATTTGTTTATTCTTGAAGAAATACTAGAAAATCCTGATTTGGAGAGATAAAAAATCTTACTTCTCTTGTATTTGTAATTTCCCCATTTGAGCTCAGAGGAGAAACTTGCGACTTTGAAGTTGTTTTCTGGGGATTTATGTGCATATTGCTTTTGGGTTTTGTAGTTTAAAAGCTTTACATTTGTGTGCTTTTTGTTGTTTTCTGATTTGTCATTTATGTTGTTGGATTGGGTTGTGAGGATCCATATCAGAGTAAATATTGAGGCAAAACTAGTGGTTTAAAGTTGTATTGGTATTACTTGGCACCTTTAGTTTATGTAACGTAGGTTGTCGGGGTGTTGGTATTGTTTAGCTTGTAGGAGAGCTTGGATTCAATTTGATAATTGCTCTTTAGTTTTTGTGGTGTTTATTTGGATTGGATAGTGAGTGTTGAGGCTTGAGTAGGTAGACTTCTTTCGGGTTGAATATTTTTTTTTCCCCCCTTTTTTGGGTTCTTTGGATTGCTGGATTCTCAATGGAGAAGCAAAGTGGAAAGAAGAAGAAACAGACAGGTGGGCAATCAAATTATGGTAATGCAAAGCTAAGTAATAGTCCTAAAGCTTATGATAAGGACATGGAAGTTTTCATTGCCATGTCTCAGGAGTTGAAGGACGAAGGTAACAAACTGTTTCAAAAGAGAGACCAGGAAGGAGCTATGCTGAAATACGATAAAGCCCTCAAATTACTTCCAAAGAATCATATAGATGTATCCTACCTTCGGAGTAACATGGCAGCATGCTATATGCAGATGGGTTTGAGTGAATATCCCAAGGCGATTCATGAATGCAATTTGGCTCTAGAAGTCACACCCAAGTATAGTAAAGCGCTTCTAAAAAGGGCTAGGTGTTACGAGGCTTTGAATAGGTTGGATTTGGCGTTCAGAGATGTTACTACAGTTCTGAATCTGGAGAAGAATAATGCAATGGCAATTGAGATAGCAGAGAGGGTGAAGAAAGAACTTGAGAGTAAGGGATTAAGGGTGAATGATACTGTAATTGAATTACCTCCAGATTATGTTGAACCTCCTCTTGGTTCTTTTGCTCCAAAAGGGGTGAAAGAGAAGACAAGGAAGAAGAAGAGCAACAAACTTGAACAGAAGAAGGTTGAGGACAAAATTGACGAGAAGAAGATTGATGAAACGATTGAGGATAAGAAGATTGATGAAAAGATTGAGGATAAGAAGATTGATGAAGATATTGTGGACAAGAAGACTGAGGATAAGGTGGTTGTGGAAGAGAAAATTAGTAGTACGAACGAGGAAGAACCAAAGAAGACTGTAAAGTTGGTGTATGGAGAGGATATAAGAGTGGCTCAGTTGCCGCATAATTGCAGTCTCATGCAACTTAGAGAGGTTATAAGTGATCGATTCCCAAGCTCCAAAGCTGTTCTTATTAAGTACCGGGATGAAGAAGGTGATTTAATCACAATTACAACTGATGAAGAACTAAGATGGGCTGAAGCATCAGCAGAATTGCAGGGTTCTGCCAGGCTGTATATAGTAGAGGTTAATCCTGGACAGGATCCACTCTATGAGAGATTTGAGAATGGGAACGTTGGAAGAGGCATGGCAGCAGAAAAGGAGTCATATTGTCTAGATGACTGGATAATCGAGTTTGTTCAGCTTTTCAAGAACCATGTTGGTTTAGATTCTGATACATACTTGAATCTTCATGAACTTGGCATGAAGGTATACTCTGAGGCTATGGAGGATACTGTTACAAGTGAAGAAGCCCAAGGCCTATTCAGCTGTGCCGCAGATAAATTCCAAGAGATGGCAGCATTAGCACTGTTCAACTGGGGAAATGTTCACATGTCCAGGGCAAGGAAGAGGGTTTACCTTGCTGAAGATGCTTCAAAAGAATCTGCACTTGAACAGATAAGAACTGCATATGATTTGGCACAACAAGAATATACCAGAGCAGGAAAGAGATATGATGAAGCATTAAGAATCAAACCAGATTTCTATGAAGGTCATTTAGCACTAGGTCAGCAGCAATTTGAGCAGGCAAAACTTTCTTGGTATTATGCAATGAGTAGCAATGCTGATTTAGATACATGGCCCTCTACGGAGGTTATACAGCTTTATAATAGTGCTGAGGAGAATATGGATAAGGGCATGCAGATGTGGGAAGAATTGGAAGGACAACGCTTGAGTGGACTTTCCAAACGAAAGGAAGTTGATAACCTGTTGCAGAAAGCTGGGTTGGATGGTTTATTTAAAGATATATCAGCAGATGAAGCTGAAGAGCAGGCTACAAGCATAAGGTCCCAGATAAACCTCTTATGGGGTACCATACTCTATGAACGATCCATTATGGAATACAAACTTGGGCTCCCAACCTGGCACGAGTGTTTGGAATTTGCAGTTGAGAAGTTTGAGCTTGCTGGAGCATCTCCAACGGATGTAGCTATTATGATAAAGAACCATTGTTCTAATGATCATGCTGTGAAAGGTAACACACAATTTACTAATTCAAAATCTTGTACCAGAAACTAATAATATCTATGAAACTAAGCAATATATCTGTTAAAATCTGTGATTTCAGGTCTAGGGTTTAAAATTGATGAGATAGTACAGGCATGGAATGAAATGTATGAAGCTAAAAAGTGGCAAAGTAGGGTTCCATCATTCAGGCTTGAACCATTATTCAGACGGCGAGTTTCAAAGCTTTATTACGCTTTAGAGCATGCATGAACCTCCTTTTTTTAAGCAGATTTTGAAGAGAAACGGAAGAGGAAAATGTTGAAAAGACTCACTTCTGCTCTGTTCTCTGGAATATCATGTACTGTGTTTTGAGGTAGGTAATGCTCATGCTGATTTAATACAGAAAAAAATTTAAATATGAGGAAATCTCTGCAAACTGTATGATGCAAAGCACTGTTTGAGTTATTGCCGTGATGCATAATAATGAAAATTAGAACCCCATGTTGTGTCATAAAGAAGCTTTTATCTAGCAGATTACATTACTGTCATCTTTGCTTGGCAGGTGATTTTTTGTATTAAGATTACTCAGCTTGTTTTGTTGCAAAAATTTTCTATTGGCAGTCTAAAATACTATTTAGATCTTTGGTCAGATGCTGCTTTATTAGGTAAGATGCATTGCCTACCAATAATCTGGTTATGGCGTTTGAGGTTAGGTTATTTTTTATTTATTTATTTTTTTTTCAAAAAAGAAATTTCCCATGAGTTTTAACATGTTCTACAAATTGCACGATGAGTGTATTGAGAAGGTACTATTTCATGAAAACATTAAGAATAGAGAAAGCTAGGATGACTTTCTATGAGAATCTCCTAATCAATATTTCATTTTGATGTAGCTCATCTTTTGAAATGTATTGTGATATTTGCTTTTGATCTACAATGGTGCACTCTTATTAAGCCAGAGGATAATTGAAAACTATGTGACAACAAATAATACTCCTCTTTATAAGGGTTTTATAGCTGGGTTCAAACTATTTTACACTTCTGAAGGTTCTCTATTATATGATGCCGTAGCAAGAAAAAACTGAATAAATAATTGGCCTATCAAATGAACCATGTTAAAGTAATTGGTGAGGTGTGAAAAGAATGCCTTTTAATTCTTCTAGGTGGCTTTTTTGATTGTTAGCCTTTGCATATCAATTCATAGCAATATGCTGCTACGCTCTTCTGTTTTCATTTCTGTTTTCTGTTTCTAAATTTTGGTGGGGAAAAGGCCATTAAATTTTGAGCATATGGAACCACTACTTCAAAATCTGTGAAGGTACAAACACCATATTGCTTGATTTTACACGCTTAGAGAAATATAGTTTAGCTCTTCGAGAAATATGCCTTCTTAAATAAGGGGTAGGGCTGGATCATCTATTCTTAAAATAGTATTTGTTTTGTATGGGACTCTGTCAGGAGAATCAATTCCATTAGTAAACAGAGTAATTATTTTGTGTCTTGATATATTTGATAAAAATATGATCCTGAATGCAGAGTATGCTTTCTTGCTCTGCTTCCAGCTTCATATATGAGCTTCCCAAATCTATCTCAAATTCTCAGTTCAAACTGTTTGCTATATTGTTTTATCTATCTTACCTCTTTACATATTCTGGAGAACCATTTATCTCCTCTATGATTGAGTCCAGGGCACATGCTCCTTTATGTAGCCAAATGCTAAAAATCACTTGATTCCTTGTCTTTAGAAATGGTTGCTAATATATATTCTCATGGTTGGTCACCTCTGGTCTGCATATGTTTTTATTTTATATCTTTGTTATCATTTTTACATAAATCTCATATTTGATTACGTTGCCGCAACAAATTCCTAGTTGTGACCTTCGCTTATTTGCTTTGCAGGTTTTCTTGGTACTTAACTTTAGGTGCAGCTTTCAGCTTCAGTAATGTACTTTTCGATACAAAAAAGAGAACAATTTTAGTTCTGGATTTGTATTCTATAATTTGTTCCAAGACAAAAGATTAAACGTTTTTTTTTTTTTTTCACACATAGTAGGAGACAAGATGAAGTAGCAGGAATTTCTCTTTTTTGTTAGTTTCTGCCTTCACCGCCATTTTTCCTGTATTACAGTTAGCAGAATATTTGTATGTGTAATTCATTTTTAGAGATTACAATAATGTATTGTTTGCTTGCCTTACGGATTTTGTAGTTTAAGTTTCTAGTTGAGATTCTTCTCATGTAATCTGAACTTTGGACGTTAGATTTCGACCAATAGACCTTGGTTTTACATATTCTGTAATTGATTTTGTGCTTTTTCTGTTTTTCATTTAATTCACTGTTGATTGCAGATTTCTAGCAGTTGAACCTTTAATCAAGATGGTGTTTAGTTAGAACTTAAAATTTGAAATAAGAATATGTTCTAACTTCTAACCCCCTCAGCACTGTAAGGTGTTGGGTGAAAGGAATTTGGAGATAATTAATCCTTCAGAACATCCTGGTTACTAAGCAAGACCACAGTTCTTTTTTTTATTTTATTTTTATTCATTAGGATAAATAGTTGCACCCATCCCAGCAATATCAAAATTGGGGCATTCTTACCATAACCAAATGAAAAAACCAATTCCCCTCACTCTCAGTTTAAGCACAGGAAAGGACAATGACCAAATAATCAACAACAGTATGCTAAGGTTGATTAACGAAGCTGCCTCTGATCAAATTCCCTTCCAAAAAGAATATGCACTACCCAGCATCCACAGATTTAAAGCTTGACAATAATGCAGGGAAGTATTTGTTCATAACAAGATTTCAACACGGAAAACAAGTAGCTTTGAAATTTACAACAAAAACCATCAGCAAGCACTCTGAAAACCATTTCAGGGTACACAATGCAGTTTGCTGCAGCATAAGTCACCTATGTACAACTTTTTACAGAAGGAAATTTCAGAATCAACAGCAAGCCATATTTACATATGTGATCCTTCCATATTTTATAGGCTGTTTAAATATTTATCACTGTTCCACTGTCGTCCCCCATGCTCGTGGCACACTAGTATTTTTAAGTTATTAACCTGTACATAAAGCTATCCCGAGTTGACAGCAGGCATTTACAAATGCTCCAGAACTATTCTGGCCGGTAATTGACAAGATTAGGGAGGGCAGTCATCTGCAGTTTCTTGATTTCAGATGCTGTCACCATGCAGGACTCCAGAGATAATGAGCGTAAGTTCTTCAGAGGCTTCAGATAATGCAGCCCTTCATTGGTTATTTGAGAATTCGAAACATTTAATGATACCAAAGCAGTCAGTCCTGAATTGACATTGAAAAATGCAGACATTTCAATTAAAGAGATTTAAGTTTATCTGCAACTCATGTGGAAAATCTATAATCTATTGCAGGAAATATTGTGATGGCAATCTTAATGTGGACAGATTGATAGTCAGCATAAAATCTCTAATGGAAAGTACCAAGCTCTTTAATTTTAAAATATCAGCTCACTTTGGGAGAGTAACTTTCTACTACACGGTTGTCTGACTTTGGGACGTATCATGCATCTTAGCTCAAAATGATCTTAGCTATAAGGTTTTTGATAGAAAAATCCTTCACCTGCTTTTCTAAACTGATATTATCGTAGCTTGTCATATATTTTGCAGAGGTAAAAATGCGAGCTTCAAATCTTTTGGGCAGTTAAAAATGGTAATTTTCATGGACTTCTCCAGAGGTTTGACCTAATTACTCACAAATCCTCTAATTCTAGAAACAGAAAGTGGCCTCTGATATAGAGAATGCTTCTAATAAATTTTACAAAAGTCCTAGGGCACGTTTATGATCATTTGAAAACTTTATGGGAGACTTCTATCTTTGAAACCAAGATTATTTTCAGATTATAAACAACAAACCTTGGTTAAAGTGTAATATTCCCTCATAAAAATCGAACTATAAAAGGAGGTATTATGTTATGGAAACACGTTTTCAAGCTTATAAATCACTTGAATCTGGTTTAAAACTTGTGAGCACGCAGAACGAGGCAAATCAAACATAGTCTTTTAGATTTAGGACAACATAAAGAGTTTTAAGGGACTTAATGTAATTTCTCTAAAATTTATTTCATTCTCTTTCCTAATTTGATTTATATCTTTCTATTGAACAATAGGGATTCCTAATTGGAGGCGTTCATCAATTTCCATAAGTGTGGGTCTATCTCCTAGCTAGTTGTTTTCCTTTCATAAATGAGGTCCTATCGATTATTTTACTGAGAAGACTTATAATATAATTATAATATGAATCGATATACTAAGAAAGCCATTATTATTTATCAGTTCATATCTCAAGAAGAAAACGACTTAAATAACCAAATTTGGGGGGTTGAGTTGAAAATTAACCAATTTTTAAAAGGTTTTGTAAGTGAGAACTTTAACCTTATTTTTGGACAATAATATCCCCATCTTCTTTTTCAGCCATACAGCCATGGAAACAAAAACTTTCAACTGGCAGGAACCATGATTCACTTGGTTTAGTGTATTAGGCTTTGTTTTGCTTGACTTGAAAGGTAAATAGCTTTTTGGTACACATTGTAACATCTTTTTGCTTACCGTATGCTTAAATCAGATGATTCAAAGAAGAAATCCCATCAAAAAATCAAGAGTTGCTGGGTTCATCGGGTTTACAGTGGCAGAAGAGGATATATAAACCGATTTGAAGACCATTGTATAACGGATTCTCAATTTATTCTTTTGATTGAGTAATCCACATTAGGATTTAGGAACCACTTTTCTAACATTTAGGGTTTTGATTTTTGTTTCTTTTATTTTGAATTGAATCGTGCTTTAATAAATGTTTATGACACTATATGTTAGTTTAACAATGATAAGAAATGGGATGGAAAACTGGTGTAAAGTGAAAAAAATTTGAATTGAAAATCTGGAAATACAAAGAACAAATTTGCAGGTCTGAGGTTTTATTTCCATGGCTGTATGGCAATTCTGTACTTGTGCGAAGAAGATTTTGATACATAAGGTGAAAGGTCCAAACTACAAAAAATTTGGTCAACTTTTAACTCAGCCCCTCAAATTTGGTTATTTTCTCTACTTCTAGTCTACTAACAATAATTACCTAATCTAGGAGACCAAGACCTATTTCAAAAAAAGAGTAATACTACACATACAAAGTTAGGATCCCAAATTTGTATTCCAATTCATGTGATAGTTGATTTGTCAAGTTCACTTATCTCATCATCTTATATTGTCAAATCAACTCTACATGGGTTAGGATACAAATTTGGGATCCCAACTTTGTATGTGTAGCATCATTGTCTTGAAAAAAAAAATTGACTAGGAAATAATCAACACCAAATCGGAATGTAGATCAACCCACAAAACAAAATTCACTCATTATTCAAATAGGAAAGAAAACAAACCCTAGAGATATTATTAAATCCCAAAATCTCAGGCTGTCCTACATCAATTAAGCATCAAAATAATTCTGATTCTATATTATAAAGTTCAGAGACAGGATAACCAACTGAAACCCACTGCAACTGTGTTTGCTAAAACTGATTGCACAAAAATCAATAAAAAAATGGCAACAATACAGCATATACCATACAACAGACTCAATTATGCCTGTGAGCCATCTATCAACCCAGAATAATAAATCACAGTTGTCCAACGACTACTAAAAGCATAAATTTGAGTAATGGAAAGTAGAACACACCAGAAATCATTTCCAAGGATTTGTTTGACAGATCATAATTTTGTGACAGGCTCAACAGCTTCAGGGAGACAAGATCCTTAATATTCTGCAGACCAGAATCAGTTAAACCTCCACCACATATTTCAAGGGATTGGAGGTTCTTGAAGCCTGTATGGCATGAAAGTAACAGAAATTAGAACATATTAAGGACAAATTCGCTTGTTATGCTGACTTGAAAGAATATCACTTCTGCAGTCTCTTTCATATCATTTGTCAAACAAGGGAAAGATGAGCTATTTAGGGGAAACAAAGGGCTACAAAGAAAAAAAATCCAACAGGCAAAAGTTAAAGACATCCATATAACTCAAGTGGTGGAATGATCTTTTAACATACATCGCAAACTCTTTGTTCCAGAGTCGGAAATGCGAGCCCCAAATAGATCCAGATTTGTCAATTTAGTCAAACCTGCATCAGCAAAAGCAGAAAAATCAGATATTAAGTATGTATCTGTACAAGCATAACAAACCCTGAATAACCTATCCACCTGCATCACACACCAGGGTGCATTTAAGTTTTAATACTTAAGTCTGAAAAATATCTGAGCCTGATGCATCACACACCAGGGTGCGTTTGAGTTTTAATGCTTACCTAACAACTTAAGCTTTGGTAGTAACTTGATAAGGCTAAAAATATCCTACAGATCCATTGATTATTAAACCAAAAGTATGATTCTATCATATAAGACAGTTATAAACTAAAAAGCAAAACATGAATGTTTTGTAAAAAAAATTTCACTTTTATAACTTCGCAATAAAACATTTAAGGCAAAAATTTGAAAGTCAATTGGAAGAAGAAGCGAGAGAGGGAGAGGAGGGGGGGCGGGTGATGGAGGGAATTAATCGTGTAAATACACGAGGAATGTCAACCTGAACAAATAAATTAACACGTTAAGCAGTACAAAATTTCTTTCCATCATACAGATAACAATACAGAAAAAACAAGTACCTCAACTAGAAGATATAAATATTTCTCTCCAACAAATCACAACATAAAACAAAAACAGGGAGAAGTTTTCTACCAAGCATCAATCTAGATGCATAATATTGGCATGGTGCACTGAAAATATACATGAAAATTTGCTTACTTGTCAGAACTGCAAGCCCAGCATCCGTAACATTATGTACATCCAGATTAAGAGATCTAAGAGATGTCAGTCCAGACAACCTTTTCAAACCACTGTCAGTTACCAAGGTAAATGACAGATTTAAGCTCTCCAGATGAATCAGACCTAAGAATAGGGAATTGCATAAATCAGCCCATGCATTCAATAACCCACATCAAACAAAATGAACATTCACTGAAAATCAAATGAAGATGACCAACAGAAAAAATCATAATCAATGTGCCAGATGGTAAGTGAACTAAAGGTAAACTATGAGTAATAATATGCAGCTAGGAAAGTATTAAGAGTTCATTCTCCATTTTTTTATAGGACAAATTATATGTATTGATGATAAAAAGAGTTACAGCAGTGGACCAGATGTCCGCAACAGACTCTCAAAAGGACACAAGCTGTACAATATAGATGTGAATCAATCTATACAAAAACCCCAATATCAAATTAATTGATAACCCCATCCCAATTTAGATGAATAAAGAAAAGTGAAAAATCGAGAAAATCCTTAGAGACCAAGGCCTAAAGCAATGCTAAGAACCGAATCCTATCCCATAAATCACTAACATCTTCACCCAACTTTTCTTCAAAAATGCGAGAATGCTAAATAGTAAGAACTCCTTTGGCATGCACAGAAATGTCTCTGCTTTACAAGACAGGTAAATTGTAAAATAACCTTTGTGACATGATGACAACACAACATTCTCAAATGATAGATCATTCTAGCATTTCTTTTCTTATGTCATCATAAAAAAGAATAAATAAATCATGTTTAAACTCCCATTATATGAAACAAATTATTTTAAATTCAACTTTCTCTTGCTGTCAATATTAACACAGTTTGAAACATTTATACCACAAAGTATCAGATGGTATGTAGAGATGGAGTCCTGACCAGATAGATGGCAGAGTCCATTGCTTCCAACTTGTGTATCAGACAGCTCAAGATTTTTCAAGAGTGTAAGGCCTGAGTAGAAGAACCAAATAAGCAAAATTATTATTTGATGCAGATTATTAGAAACCTTTCTCTTTCACTTAAAAGCCAAGCAAGCACTATCACCCAAGTATGCACTTTTTTGTTGCTTTCTAGGTGGTATAAAAAATATACTAATGACAAATTTCATTGATTAGACATTTTATTTTATTTATTTATTCTTTATAAAGCTATCCTGAAATCTTATAGAAAGATAAAAGACACTATTTGCTCAGGAAGGCAAACACATGCATAAAATTACAAAGGCAAACCACCCAATAACATGGCAGACAACAGAATGAAAAAGCATAAATTAGTTAGAAAAAAACCTGTCAAATTAGCAAGCCCTTCATCACCAATCTTACATGAATCCAAGTTCAAGCTCTCCAAATTTGTTAAATCTGAAAACAAATAATTTTTTTTTGCTAAGAAACAAATACTCTCTATAAAAAGTACATAAAATATACAAGTTTAAAAGAGTGGACAAGATGTCCATACAAATGGAGAAGATGTCCATAAACCCTAGGGTTCATAGAACAAAACAAAATGAAAACACTTCTCCTGATCCAAAAACTTCAACTCTAAAAATCCCTAACCATGGACTTATCGCCACTCATGGAAGACAGAACATTTATGAGGCTAATTGTATAAATGGGATATTCAGAAAAAGCTCCTTGCATCTAATTTTATCAATTGTGTTAAAATGAAGTACTTACAACCTTGGAAACCATTTGCTCTTTACATGATTAAGGTCTTACAACAGCTATACAAGCCACTAAAAATAACAGTTACAAGCTTTAGATTTTGCAAGAAGTATTAATTAATAGTTACAATGATCAAATTAGGGATTCGAGCAAGAAATCAGCTACTATTGTAAATTCCGATAACATTTTTATTCCAGTCACCGAAAAGAACAGCTTTCAGAGTATTTCACATATTATATGTACAACCTGCTCTCTCCCTTCTTCATTCTTCTTTTATTTCTTTTTCTTTTCATCCCAAGGTGTAAATTGGCCAACACAGAGGATGCAGCTCAAGTATGGCCTAAAATTTCATATTGCCTGACCAAGCACATACCCAGAAGAAGGAATGCGCTAAGCTGGCATGATAGCCTGTCAAACCAGGCCTGTCAGGCTAGCTGAAAGGCAAGAATATATATTCTCATTTTCTAAGACAAAAAAAAGAGAGCATGAAAGAACCTCTTTAGATTTTGTTCCTGATGACACTCTTAACAAACTTCACTCTTTAATTGTTTAAAAATGTTGCTTCCTTTTTCTATATCTATAAACCTACCCAAACTCAATTCTTTCCACAATCTCAATCGCTCACTCAAACCACCTCGCTTACATAGAATTACAAACTCTCCCACTCCCATAGATTTATTAGCACTGTTAGAGCGGTCATTTATAAACTCTTTCCTTTCAAGGATTATTTAGTCTGATCTGCTTATTGCCACATACATGCTCCTAACTGCTTGACTATTACTTGAGAATCTGTTTCTACGCATGTTTAATATGAGTTATCTCTAAGTTTAATATAAATATAGTAATGGGGTAGTTCACCTAGAGTATCCAACAACTGAAAATTATTAAAATTTTAAACAGGACATTCAAAGACTTTAACTATCACAGTTTGTAACAATTGTAAGCTAAACTTATTATGTTAAAACAAATATGAAAACTGCCACATTGACATGTAAGAATTTGTTTACCAAACATGGTTTGATGGATCCCCTAAACCTTTTTTTTTTTTTTTAAAATTTCTGTTTGGATAAGAAACTGAAATAGTACAAAAACATATATGGAAACCTGAAAACAAATTGACCGTCTCATCTATAGCTTGATACAAAAAGTCGAGAACAAAACACAGCCACCACCCAAAAACAAACAATAATCACAGAGGAATAGAGGCAGCCTCCAAAAGGCTCCAAAAAGCCTGACACAAAATAAAACTCATGTAATGACTGCTTCCTAGTTTTGAAAGGTGAAAAAGAAAGAAACATTTTAACTTTGTGGACACTACTGCCCAAAAGTTAACTTTTCAGAAAGAAGAGGACCCCCATAAGCTATCTGGGATTATGCAGCTAGTAATGTGAATAGTAGTAGTGAAATTGGCACTTCAACAATTATGTTATGGTTGCAGCTTTATCTCACATTTAATTAATAATAAAACAATCTTTATGCTTTTACTTTGTATTGTCTTGTTGTAATTATGTTATTGTTATTATCATTAACTAATTAAGGGTTAGAATTAATTGCACCATATTTTTGCCATAAACATGAAACAAATTATAAATAATTTAATTAATGCATGGTGGATGACTGCAATTGCATCTAATATATGTCATTTTCAAAACACATCAATTATGCATGCTCTATTTTGTGGTTGAGATCTCATGGATTGAGCATGGCCAACCTCGATTGATAACTATCCTTATCCTTCAAACCTGCCTCCTCCTCTTTGCATGCCTATTTCAATCTCAAGTCCATTAACCAATATTAAGAAACTTTAATAGCATCTCGACATTTGCATAAATAATCCATAAGTATTAAAATTTCTAGATGCTATTATACCCAAAAATGACCTTCATTAAGGATCATCACAAGCATGAATTTCTACCTTAAGGTATCTAAGTCTTACAAAAATTGGATTAAGAAGATAGGATCCCAACTGAACAATCCCAGATAGGAAAGTGACCTTGTACACAAGATCTTTCAAACTACCAAAGTGCTACAGGAATGACCACCGTGAAGTGGTACCGGATTCAAAAAAACTCTCTTCAAATCTTTAATGAATGAATCAATCAAAATACAATTATCAATACTTTACTCTCCACATAAAAGTTCTCAAATCAGCAATTTTTTTTTTTTTTTTGTGAAAAGTAAAAATATCTCTTTAGGTGTGAACACTAAATTGGTCAATAACAGTCCTTAGTAACTTCATTAACGTGGAAAATAAATTTGGAATGTGGAATGGTCAAAGCCTTGAAGAATTAAATTCGCATAACCTCCCTTAGCCTGATGTCACTAGTTAACATAGGTTATAAAATAGTATCTATATGGATTTATACTCTTATGATTGTGAGAAAAGGAGAGAGAGTACCTTTTAGATGCACCAAGCAAGCATCTGTTATATTGTTGAATGCCAAGCTCAATACCTTTAAGTTTTTAAGTCCTGCAGATATATAGACAATAGAGTAATAAGAGATAGTACCTATTATTTTTTCTTTATTTTTTTTCCTTTCACTGCATAGCACCAAATTCAATTTGGTAACAGAAGTTCAAACGTTACTTACCAGAAAACTTATCACATCCATCATCTGATAGACGACATCTATTAAGATTTAAGCATGCCAGGGCTTCAAGAGCTACACAAAGATGAATTGCTTTAAACAAACAAATCAAAGGAAAAAATTAAATTAACTTCTAAGAAATAATTGAACTAATACCTTTCCCCTCCAATAAAACAAATAAGATAGAACCAGTAAGATGAAACATTTGAGAAAGTCATTAACTTAATATATCATGACAGTTGAAGGGTCTCTAAAAGATATTCCTTTCTCACCTTCAAACTCACAAGTTATAAAAAATGTCTTGTTCAATCTTGGTCCTCCAAGAATTAGCAAAGGAACATTTTAACAGGCAAGCACAAATATAGTAAACATTGCTGATTCAGAGGGGGAAAAGGGGTGATTTTATATCCCCAACTTTTCATTATCCTTGCCTGACAATGGTACAAACTCTTGTTCACACTAAACTCCAAGCATATAACATATTGCATAGATAGAGCCCAAGAATCACCTGTAACCTTTTCCAATCTATCAGCTAAGTCTCTATCATTTCAGTATTTCAAATATACTTGACAAACCCAATTATTCAATTCAAGGTTCAAATGATTGTATCAATAATCATAAACGCAACCAAAGGTTCATAACAAATAAAAAAGCCAAAGAGAAGTTGACCTGAGATTGAGTCCAAACAAGCAGCAGTAATATCGTATCCCTCCAAGTTCAATGTAATAAGCTTGCGCAAACCTGCCATATACAGATAAAGATCCAACAACTTCAGCCTTAAGGAACTCAGTCTGTACACAGGACTAAATACTGTGACTGGTAAGCATCCAACTATAATAAAATAAGTACTTCAACATAGTCAAACCAGTTGGAATTCCTAAATGAATGGATTAATAAAGAGCACTTACAAAGAATTGGAAGTGAATAGCCTCAAATTAAGAGTAGAAAAATCTACGCATATACTATAAGGTAACAATGCATTAGGAAGCACAACATAAAGCAAACGAATGATTGTCAACTTGGGAACAATCATAGTGTGGCTAGGGACATCAATTGACAAGGTTTTCTCCTCTGGTCATTTTCTATAATCATTAACAATAAATTGCAACCTCATACCAAATTGCAACCTTTTTTTAATTTAAAAAAAAAAAAAAAAAAAGACAAAATAATTATACAAAAGCTGAATAAAAAAAGCATTTATTGACCAATCAATACACTGTTAGGATCAGGCTTTGCCATCTCAATAATGAAGGAACTTGAACAAAAGACTAGTCAACTTAGCATGGATATCATGTTAGGATTTAGATTACAAGGAGAAGTATGCAAAAAGTAGTGTATAAACCACAAACTTTCCCTGATCTCAGTACATATTATTTATAAGAAATAAACTTTCTAAAATACCCTTACAAACACTAATAAAAATAAACCACAATTTGACTTTTCACGGTACACAACAAAGATAAAAAATTGGTACAGAATAGTGAACTGTGAAATAACAGACATGAAATGAAAGAAACAATTCAGTGAGTCATATGCATACAATGAAAACAAAAAGCAACCATGCTCATGATCTTCAAAGATGAAAAGAAAAATAAAAAATAATTAAACAAAGCAAACTGCAAAATACCTCTTAAATAAGAAATTCCAAAATCTGTAATGTTACAGTTGGAAATTTGTAACTCCTTCAGCTTAGAAAGCCCTGATAAAGGTAGAAAATTAGAGGTTAAATAAATTAGCCAAACATAAAAAATTTAGAGACAAAAATTCATGCCAAATTCTTCACTTGGTCTTCAACAAAAAACTTAATGTGTTAAGAATTACCATCGAGTATTAATTGAAACACATTATTTTGAAAAAAATTACCAGCTGAGAAAATCTGCTTAATCTAGTAGGACCCATAGGACTTTTCCCTGTTTCTTGGGGCTAGAATCTTGATTTCTTAAGGAACCTGAACGATACAGTTGTTGAACTTTCTAGTTATCAGTCCAATTAGGGAGTGCCTCACTGAATAATTCTAGGGTAGACACCAGGCTTTAAGAGTTAGATCTTCAGGAAGTTTTTTCTTGTAAATCATAGTCTGACAGGTTGACAAATGGCTAATCATAACATTTGTTTTTTCAGTAAAGATGATTTGGAAGTAACGTCCACAGTAAAGTTCAAATTTCACCATGGGCAATAACCTTGGTTAGAATTAACATGTGATATTTTCCAAAACAAATGAAACTAGTTCTGTTTGAACCCTGCCCAGTGTGTTAAGTGAAAAAAGATAAAAAAGACTCAATAAATAAATAATGGGTAAAGCATCAATCATCAGTCCCTTCACTGCCCTATAGCTCTGAAATTGTGGTATCATCTCTTCGAGACAGCAAGATTGATGTAGGTTTATCCCAAATTCAAGATCTTGAGTATCCCTATTAATGGAATATTTTTGTGCTTGTGGTAGAGGCAAACAGCTAACTTCTTATGGAGGTGTTCAGTGCCAACAATTTTTTTGGGTAATGCAGATAGAAAATAACACAAATGTCTTTTAGGAATCCATAAAAGAGAGCCATTTTTTTGTGAGATTGAGTTCACTTTTGGAATCTTAACAGGTGTCATTATTAAAGAATTCCAAGATGCTTCTTTATTGTTCACTTAAAAAAGCGGGCAGCTGTTTTCACTTAAGTCGGAGGTTTAATAGTGCATAGAGATGGAGAAAATCTCGCATCACTAATTTCTCATCAATTTTGTAGTTGACCATTGGCTCATCTAACAACATTGTATTCTATTTGTAATATAAATGAAATAAATACCAATGTCCTCTTAAAAATAAAATAAAAAATAAATAAAAAAAAGACATCATTAATGATAAAAATAAGTTCATACAAAAGAATCCAAACACACTCACATGTATGGTCATATTTATTAATTAGGTTGCCACTTGTTCCTAGCAGACGTTCAACTTGCTGTTCTATAACTTTATTCATGGAATAGGAGAATCTTTATGATTCAAATTATGACATATCCACCAATAAGGCTCTAATACAAAGCTGAAACACTAATAATCCTAAAAGCTTAAGCTGACAGAAAAATGCGGAACAATATTAATAGACACTTAGCAGGATAAGTTATAACCAACTTCATTGAACTTCCTCTCGGACAACAATTAACAATCAATCCCAGCACCAATTAATTGATGTGGTGAAAAAAGACAACTTTCATGCAGCAAAACATGGCTTCATATAATGCTAACGCTAAGACAATCAGCCAACAACTTATGAGACAACATATTGTAGCTAATCCAAATAACTTGTTCATGATAAACAACAATTCATTTTAGAAAAGATATTGAATCAAATTACTAGCTAGCTTGCCAAATATATTGATTAAATAATACTTTTAACAGTTGTAGTGCATTTTAAAGATTGTTATTAGAAAATCCAATACAAAAATTTAGCACTAAGGTAGACATTCAATAACAGAGTAGCCCATATGAATTTTGCACACTAACCTTTATAATTAACTTTCTATCACTAAATTATAAGGTCTCAGATTCTTCTCAATAAGTTGTTATATGTTATACAAAATTTGAATTAGTCAACGGTCAACCAACAGAGCAGGGACCTAAAGTGGATGGTTCAGCATATTTCTTATCTCTAAAGAATCACAGTATAACTATAAGAAAGAACCACAGAAACCTAGAGTGCCACATATTTGCATATATCCAATATTGAACATTAAAGGTCTAGTGGCATGTCACCGTTCAAACAGGACCACCAAAGACCCAAGGCTGGAATATATAAATGTAACGGCTTAATTTTAGATAAGTTAAAATATATTTTAAAATACCTGAGAGAGATTTCATGTCCGAATCTGTAACACATTTACAACACTTGATCTTCAGGGACTCAAGTTTCATCAAACCTGAAAGAAATTAAAAAATAATAATAATTAGTGAACATTTTTGTGGCAACTTAAATGAGCACGATCAACATGCTAACATAGCAACTTTCTGAAAGTCCTGAAGTACAACTAATAGTTTGCATCTGTTCCTAGTCATATTAAGTTGACAATAATATGGAATAAAAAGGACACATAAATGCACTAGATGACACACTGCCCCACATTTTGGCAATCCACAATAAACTCTTAGCCACCAAAAGAATCTGCCTCCACTTTCAAAGGTAACTTTACAGGTTTAGGACCTAATGAACAAGGCCATTAGACTATTTAGCAATTAAAGAACACAAAAAATGACATGAAAATGCTAAGTGTTTTCTTTGTACTATTCTTTTTCTATTTATAAGAAACACCAAAAAAATTGATTATAAATGAAATACAAAAACAAAAGAAGTTGAAAAAATTCAACCATTAATGTAAAATATAGCTATTAAAAATCTCAATCAAAGTTCTTAAATCATATAACAACAGCACCTCTACTGTGTCAATTAAAAACAGTGAAAGGTATTTGAAATTGCTAGAAGCCGATGCCCAAAATAATGAATAAATGATTGTCAAAATTTTGCAAAAAACCTTTGAAATTCTTCTATTCGCTTCCAACAGAAAAAATATAAAAATAAAGAAACTTTCAGTACACTGCAATTTTTATAAAACCAAAGCTTCTCCACCTACCCCAAAAGCACAAAGCTTGTCAATGTATAAAGAAACACATGCAGCTTAAATCAAACTAGCATTCATAAAAAGCTATATCGCAACTTTTAACGCTAAAAGGAAGTAAGAAATAAATGACAAAGACGTTCATATTGGTCTTACCCATCACACACCAAAAAGGAAATAAAAAACAAACATTTGTCTTCATCTTTGCAACAAATCACATGTCTTGTTATTTCCATGAGCCATACGCGTAGCAAGAGCTTGAATCTTACTTGGAAACTTTGTTCAATTAATTGACACAGAACAGGAATTTATTCTTCACAAACACAATTTTTTCTCAAAGATTTAACCAGTACATCAAAGAAACATGAGTTTCCATCTAACTTGGCAATATAACTTTATAGCTGTCATCATCAGAAATTAACTGACACAGAACAAACCTTTAAGATGACCAAATCCACCGTGAATCCCTGAACACCTCTCTAAGTCCAGATTTTCCAAGTTCACCAAGTTGGAGAAGGCACGCATTCCTTCGGCAGTGATACCATTGGTCTTTTTAAAACTCAAGGATGTCAAGTTCATAAGACCTAAAGGATGAGATTACATAATTATTCACAGCCGCACCAAATATAATGATAATCAGTAAACTAACTCAAATGATTACTCCAGAGATAATATTTGGAAATGAGGGAGGGAAATGAACACAAAAAGATTTCACCACAAAACTGTGGGAGGTCATAGCCCCAAAGCAGGGTTCTGGAAGTAACAACATCATAACTAATACTTTAATTGTCATTTAAGCAACAGCATATCAACATCAAACCACATGAAAGGCAGGATTATTATCTACCAAGTTATTAACTATTTACTACTTATAGAACATGAAGAATTAACATGTAGATGGCAATAGATACATTCAGAAGGTAGAACATTTATTGCAGCTTAAACCTTGCAAGTAGAAAGGTTCTTCTTGCAATAAATAAACATGCACATAACCATAAATAATTATTCTGTATTTGGGCATTAATCATTGCTGAGAAGCAGCTCTTAAACAACTGTTTTAGAAAATTTACAAATATAAATTCCCAAACATTACACCTACGTAGCATGGCTGATGATTGGATGCTTGATCTCAGTGACAGGAGGGAGACGAAAAATAAACTAATAAGAACTTATCAAGAAGTTTATAAACACACAGAAATCAAGGAAACAGAAAAACATCACCGGGTCTCATTAACAAGAATATCTAATTAATGGAAATGGCCATCATAATAAAAAGATAAAATTATAACACAACAGTTTACAATAAGCTAGCTGCGTGTAATAGGAAAAAATAGAAAGGATCACCACTAATGTGCTTCAGCCCAAGTTCTGAAATTTTGTCACAATAGTTAAAGGTTAATGCTTGGATGTTGGTACAATCTTTTAAGAGACCCAACCCAGTATCTGTGACATCAGAACCACAAAGATCAACAGAGAGTAAAGACGACCCTTGTGAAGCAATAACATCCATCCAACTATCCTTCACTCCAGGATATTCACCCAACAAAACATCCTGCAAACAAATCACGGATATTTTATAACTGAAAGCCTCCATCAAGAACTAAACAAGGTAGAGAAGCTTAATTATAATTAGTGCTTCAATGCTCAAACCACAGACAAAGTCTTACTTCTAGAGCACAATCTCGGAAAGCTTCCACAGAAGCATCAGTAAGACCATGAGAAAATATCAATTCATTGAAGATTTGTTGGCTTATATCTCTTGGCAGCATTGAGAATGAAGTATATTTGTCAATATCCTGTCACGGTTGAAACATGTAAGAAAAGTACAAGCAAAGAGAAATCCTCAATCAAACACACCCAGGGAATGCAAACAAGTACCTCACATATTTTATCTATGCATAACTCCATGAGAGATGGACAACTAACTCCCCCTGGCTTACTTTCCATTGGAGGGCGAGGAAATGAGGTTCGCAACCACTTTGAACTGCAACTTCTCAAATACAATCTAGAGACCCCTCTTTGTACACCGTCTTCAACAACCTGTTGATCTCTTTTCCTTGAACAAATTCCCCCCATTGAGTGGTGATCTTGCAAACTCTCAATTGATCTCAAAAAATGCAAAGAAGAATGTACTAAAATGCATTTCAGAACAAAGCATCCAGCATTATTACCTCCACTTCACCCTGCAGACCAGAAAAAGTAACACTATTAAAACCAAGTTCTCTAACACCAACAATTAACCCAAAATCAATCTCTTACGAAAAAAAAAAAAAAGAGAAGGCTTTATCTACCATGCCATCGGTACAGATGAATAAACAAAAATACAACTAAAAAGGAAAACACCCAGAATCCTTAATGAACCAAATAACACCACGGATTCATCCTCGATCAAAAACTTCTTAATCAAACATAAAGAGTTATTTTCATATAATAATTGATGTTCTACCACTAACAATTTATATACCAAAAAAATTTGCTGCAAATAAAGCCTGGGAAAAAATAAAAAATAAGGGAAAAAGAAAAAACCCAGTTGAACACATAGCAAGTATGTTGTGACAAAGAAACGGTACAGCTCTAAACTACAGTTATAAGTGATGCATTCGCGCACAAAAACATTGATAATTAAAAGGAGTCGAATTGAGTTAAGAGATGATCGTAATAATATCACCCACATAAAACAAACAGTTCACCCTCTTCTTGTTTGTGTTTTCAGTTCAATAAAAGGGTGATCAAAATGAGAGAGCTGACTGCTGAGTGCGAGCCGGGGGGCAGGAGCCTATGAGTAGTAGGGGAGGGGAGCCGTTTGATGGATAACACGTGGAAATGGGTGATGAGATGAGACAGGAAAAAGTGGGTTCCAGTTTATCCGTCACTATCAGTCACGAGCAGGGTGCGCTCGACTTCGGCGGGACAAGGACCGTCTATGCTCACAAATGCCGCTTCACTTGATTATTAATTAATATTTAATAAATTGTCTTAAAAATATAATTCAAGAGAAACAAGATACTGTTTTTGAATAATAAAGTTGTACACACATATATCTAATAATTTTGTATTAATGCCTTTATCATGTTGTAGAATTTCCCTTGATTATAACACAAATTTTATATGTTTGATTTAGTGTCTCATTGACAATGAAAATCACTATAAAAGCCAACTTGTAAGAAATCAAAAGAAAATAAAGGAAAATCCTTTATCCCAACAGAATATCTTATTCTTTGATATATACATATATATATTTTCTAAGCCATCAGTAAGGAAAAAAACAAGTATAATATAAAAGATGGACCACAAAATGAAAATGAAATCGGTGATGTGGAAGTAGAAGTGGGGGATTCTTGCAAGAAATAGTCATTACTTTGTTTGCAACTTACAACCATAGAATTAGAATCCATGACCATCTACTTTCTTCTCTAACTTTCCCACCAAACCATTGCCCCCACATTCCCTAAAAGTTACACTAAAAAGGAAAATTCCTAACAAAGAAGTGGGTGCAGATACATAAAGACCTCTAAATCATGTAAATTATTAAGAGAAAAACAAGTGTTAAAAAAATTTACTAGTTAAATATGGGGCAATCCACCATCATCAATATTTACATTGTGCAATGGAAAAACATCCAAAGGGATAGATGGGTGTTGCAGAGCAACTAAATTAATTCACCAAAAACCAAGTGTACAAGAATTGAACACCCTTTGGTACCAAAAAAGAGCAACAATCATTTAAAATTGGTGATGCTAAAGCTGATGTATGATTGATTATATGATACAATGCACATGAATCTCAGCTTTCAATCCATGCCTACATTACATCATGAAGATACAACAGAACGTGCAGAATTGCGTCCGAGACCAAGTCCCAGGCCAACTGGGATGCTATCGGATTTTGATTTACTATGGTTACCATGGCTGCAATGAGAGGAATGGACATGTCCATGTCCATGTCCATGTCCGTGACCATGTCCATGCCCATGATGTGTGTTGGCATTCTTAGAATTCACGTTAACAGCAACATGGCCATTGCCATTTGCATGATGCATATGGCCATCCCCATTTTGCAAGTTTGAATTTCTTGACATCTGCATCATTCCAATCCCTTCAGAATCACCAATATCTTCTATCACCTCCACATCTTCGTTGTATCCATTGATTACGAAATCTGAACAGTTCTTTCTACACCCATGATCATATGGGTTTCTAAACCTACCACCAGGACCTCTAAGGTAGCTGTAGCGCAATGCATTTGCCATTTCATTTGTTGTTATATTGCGGGATATCTGTCACAAGAAATCAAAGACTTCAGAACAACTTGCTTATATTGCAAAAATAAATTGTTTATATCACATGGAAGAGAAAACAAATATTGAAATCATTCAGCGCTTAAAATTAATGCATTGTATAATATGATTAAGGGAAATTAATTTGCATCCCCCTCAAAATTTTGGTTTATAATATTACAGAAACATGTTCCTCGAGCCCATCAGGAGAGACAAACATTCTTTACAATATTTATGTACCCAGTGCACCTGTACAAGCTGGTTGAGACACAATACTTATAAAAGATTTAGTAGCCACAGTACAAAAAAGAATTCATTGCTTCTCAGGGTATTTTCGAATTTTGTATCATACTACTAATACTATTAAATAAAAGTAGATATTTATTTTGATTAAAAGAAAAGAGAGAGAGAGAGAGAATCAGATCTCAATAAAAGAACTAATACACAAAAAGTGATCAAGTTGTGCATACAATGCTGGTACTACCTAAAGGATGTACAAGGTCTAAACAACACCCAAACAAAAATTTCAGGAATAAAATAAAACTCAAAACAATCTATATCTAAACATTATATACTATATCTAAAATAAAATAATCCAAAATCCACAAAATCAAGTTTTTAGAGATGGAGGCAAGTCAAGCCCCACAAAGAATTGGCATCCTATAAGCCAGATTCTTATAAAACTTCTCAAAATAAATTTTAGCAACATGATCATAGACATTCTCAAATGAATAAAAACTACCAAACCAGGAATTTACAACCAAATTGAAGATTAAAGAGGCCGCAATCAACAACAGAAATTTAAATGCAAGACAAACACCAACATAAACAACTATCATAGTCATGATGCAGCAACAAACACGCTTTGGGATTATAAAATAACTAATCATTACAGTCAAATAGGCACACCCCAAAATGGACATCGACCTGACAGTTTTAAAATCCAGCAGCTAAACCAAGTATTGATTACACAAGTGAAGCTAGTCTGACGAAATTGTCACACCACAGCACATTACATTGCAAGTGAAAATACAGACATGCAGCTTAAACAATAACAGGCATACCTGAGAAGCTTGTACAACTGTTAAAACAGCCACACCAAAGAAGAGGAAAAAATCCATAACCAGAAATGATATAGCTCCAACATGATGAGTACTAGCATGGTTTATCCACGCTCCAAATGATGAGGGAGCCACTGGATCAGTCAAAATTCCTGCCTCCAGCAAAACAAAGTTTCTAAGAATATTAAGCCCAAAAAAATAAAATCCAACAATATCTTCAAAAATTAGCTTGAACCAAAAAAGTATGCATACTTGTGACGGTAACTGCACCAGTTACCAACATTGCTGAAACTTCTAAAACAAGAAAAAGAAAGAAATCCCACTTGTTTTTCTGCAGTACAGGTAAATAAACAATCAAGTGAGCTAAACAAATTAACAAAAAGACAACTGTGCAATCATAATGAGAAAACAAGACACAAAATTATATCATTATTACATATTACCATTCCTGTATGCATGGAATCAAATAGAGAAATAATAAACCAATGGAACTAAACTTACAGAGGCAGTACATAAAACTTCCTGAGTTGAATGAAAATTAAATTGTGTAGTAATGTAATTAGACTTGATGTGGCTCATCAAAAAACTCACTGTATAGCAGCAAAAAAAAGCAAACCATTCCAGGAGGGAGTACAAGGTCAAGCCAAAATGGCATTTGTTAGGACTTTTGCACATCACCTGCAGAAGACCTAGGACAACCCTAATAGAACATTTTTAACAAGGATTACCATTTCTCAAGATTACATGGACTTCAAGGATGGTAGCAATACAACAAAGCTCCAGAACTCAACTGAACTCAACTGAACTTGGTCAGTATTCTTTGGCGGTGGAAAGGCAAAACCAAAGGGTGATTCCCAAAATAGCTCAGGCCTGTTGGAAGAACCAGTTATAGAGTTGGTAATTGTCTCTTTGGTGGTAGACATGGAAATGGTCTAAGTGTTGCTAGAGGATGTAAAATATCTGGTAAGCCAAGAGCACCATTGCTGGCACAGGAAAGACAACCTTGGAGGATTTGGACAACTAGGGGAAGTACTGACCAAGAGAAAAATTTTCAAACAGTTTACTTGTATGAAGTATTATTATTGTTCTTCAGTAGTTACAATACAAAAATTTGCAGTGAGAAATCAATAATCTATTTTGCTTAAAAATAAAATAAAGAAATAGTACACAACTTCCCAGTAAGTTGAATGTACTTACCAAACTAAATTTAGCCAACCAACCATGATATCATCCTCAATCACAACATATTTTACAAATTACAACCAGCCAAGTGATAAGGAAAAAGGTTAAACATTTTCCAGCATTTACTTCTATGAAGTCTAATATTATAGCTCTTTGTTAGTTGAACACAAAGATTTTACGCTGAACAATAAATAATGTATTGTTAACTTATCTTAAAACAATAATAATAATAATTTGAGAAATAGTACACTACTCCCCAATAAGTCAAATGTCATAAATCAACATAACAAACTAACTGTAAGCATCCAGCCATGATATCATCCAAAACCATACAACACATTTTGCAAACAGCAAACTGATAGAGAAAAACATTAAACTTTGTCTAATCAGGATAAATATTACCACTGACACGGCATGCAACATCAAATGAATTCCACTCTTCATTAAAGATCTTGTTGCCATCATTTTTCATCATTAATTAAATTTTGATGTAACATATGACACAAAATGTGAACTTTATTAACTCATAAATGTCAGACCTTGCCAATGCAATTGGATACCCAAGGACAATGGTGGTCAAATTGTTCAACACAGCGATCACAAGTGGAACAGTGCTTTGCACGAAGAGGTCTTACAATCTGATGACAATACAAAAAAAAAAAAATACAAGGAAATAGTGAGAAAAGCAAACGTTAAATTCTATCACATATTAGCAGAAAACTTGACTGAAATAAGCAACCTTGCATGTGGCACAGAGCTGAGACCAATTTCCAGCCAGCAAAGCAGGATTATTTATCTCAATCTTCAACAAAGGTTCCTGGCAAAAGATAAAGTACAATCATATTCATAACATAATTAGGAATTATAAAAACCATGTTTAAAATGTTCATATGCTAAAAGAAATTGCATCTGATAGAATCATATCAAATTTAGGGCCAAAGACAAAAACAATAAAACAAACGAAACCATGAAAGAGAAATAATACATGAAACAATCTTAATGAAAAATAATAAAACTCACATCATCTTTCATTTGTGGATCATGCACATTAATCCTGATGTAACCTGGATCCTTTCTGCAAAAGGTGAGAGGTAAAACAATAAAATTAGATAAGAAACAATTCAAGAGATATTTTTAAATTCTGAATCATACTTGAGTGAGATTTAAGCAGCCTAATTATCCTGGGGCACAAAACAATCAAACTCAATAAATGACCTTAAGCACAAACTATGCCAATCAAATTCATAAAAAAAAATAATAATAAAAAATTGCTGCAATCCTCCAACTTCATAAACCCCAACCCACCCTAACCGGAAAAACAAAAACAGATAGATAAAATGTTAGCAAGAAATAAGATAACACCACAATGTTGAAAACCAAACATTACAATAAGGAAGCTGAGGCTGTTTGGTGGAAACTAGAACCCATAAGTTGTGCAACTCGGACCTGAGTTTCTCCTGCTATTGGAAAGAGTTCATAATCTTCCTTCTTTGTGGGAATTGGATATAAACTAATTTGAAGGGACTTCTTTTCGTCATTCAGAAGGATTGGATAGCTGTGCCATAATTTTAAGAGTTTAGCAGTCCTGCTTGGTGGAGTTTGTATACAGAAGTTAAATCCATGTTCTTTTTTCTTCTATTCTGAAGACTTCTGGTTTACTCCTTTGTATATCAATGTTATTTCATTAAAAAATTGGTCTTTTCTAATACGAACAACTAGATGTGATGCATAACCATATACAAGCTCAAATGTGATGTTGTTTTATGACACAAATATAAGAGCTGGTTACACAAAAAGGAAGACAATGTTCTCATATCTCTCAAGAGTCAGGGATTGGACAGAACTTTCCAAAAGAGTTTACAACCAAATTTCATGTTCTGACCAGTTACAATCATTATTATTAGATTATTTGAAGATACCAATCTTTTAAAAAACCTAAAAGTCATGTGAACATCTAAGGATATTTAATCCTTATTTATTAAATTAACAGTAAAAATTTCCAAATGAAAAGCAGCTCCAAGAACAATAAGAAACTCATAAAAAGGATAACCTGACATGAACATGGGTAATTTATCTTCATACTGAAATAAATGAACTCAACATAAAAACCAGGCCATGGATCTGCCCAGTATCTTGCCAATTTCTATAGCCTAAAAATATTAAATTAAGAATCTAGAATCTATATTTTAGTAGCAATTTAAGAAAATAATTTATTTTGGGAATTCAAATATTTTATTACTTGTTTTAGTTGGATTTTATTTTCCTAAAGTTGATTTCTTTTTCAGGAGGATTTAATTAGTAATCTGAAGTAGATTTCTATTTCATATTTTGTTTAGGTCTTGACCACTGTATAGGTAGGCGTTATGCTGTTTCCGCAACTATCAAGCTCCTGGAATACTTGATCATTGATAGAACAATGTTAAAGAGATCCCAAATGCATAGGGTAAAACAATTCATACTTTTTACAACATTCAATAAAAACAATGTGAGGGCCAATCAAGTTTCACCAGTCAAGGCATTAATAAACTCTCAAACAGAAAAGATAAGGTCAACAAACGAAAAAAGGAAAACAGTAAACACAATCAACTCAACCTATTCATACTAGAGCTTCAAAGTTTAAAATCTAGATAGTGTTTAGAGCATACCTACTACACCTATAGAACAAAACTAATCCGCCACTTGCTAGGAAAACACCCAACCATGCAAGAAGGCCAAAGCCAGCAGTTAACTTCGGCAAATCTGATGCTGCAGACAACATTCAAAAATGAAAAGACTATCCTTAAAAGGGCACAGAATGACTGGTTAAAGAAAGCTCAGGGCAGATACCCATGATGACAGAATGCATGTAAGTCACAAGTAGCAGCAAAATCAAACACCAAAGTACAGGTGCAAGTCCTAGTTTTGAAAGCTTCCCAAGGGTACTGTTCCCATCAAATCGCTTATCAAGCAACTTTCTAGCATTCCCCTGCAAAATAAAAAATTACAAGAAAATATACTTATTAACCCAGGCAACAAGCAGCTAAGGGGAATATATATATATATATATATAAATTCGGAAACATCATCCCAACTCAATATGATGCTTAACTGGAGTTCTAAATAAGTGTTTCTAATTAACATCAAGTCATTTTTTATGTTTCATCATGTAATAAGAAGTTTGTTTTGCTGCATATCATTCTTCTGTAGTTTATGGTGGTCAGGATTATTTTGGTAATTTACATAAATGTATGTATACGTTCTGAATCTGCTAGATTCCAACGTGGACGTCCAAGTCTTCGTAAGACTAGGAGAACAAATCAATATAATGCTTTAAATTATAATCCTAAAAAAATTTCAGAAGCTTAAAGGCTCTTTTCAGTATAGTGTGAAGCAAATCAAACCCAAAGTATGATGCCAAGGGACACTACAAACAATGCAAGGAATTCTAGATGTGATGCCTAGAATATGTGATTTCCTCTTATCTTCTATCTTCTCTTTTCTTTAAATTCTAACTGAAACAAGCCATAGCAAAATAAATTACATTGTAGAATATAAAAAACATTTACACAAATTTTTCTTATTATAAAAGCAAATGTTGACAAATGAACAAATCATATTCTACATCCAATGAGGATATAAAAAGGTGCAAATATGAACAAGAACAAAAAGCATCAGAGAACAGCAAGCTTCATCAATTGCAAGATGCATGATCACTAACATGCAGCCACTGTACCAAAGAAAAAAGATTTCCAGCACTCTTTCTACATATATCAACTACCAAGCGTAGTTGCTGCCTGTAGATTAGGGCAACTAAAAAATACAAGCCTGAACAATGTTGTATTATACTTTTCTTCAACTTTAATGCCATGTCTAAATTAGAATAATAATTTCCTTTCCAACTGTCTTGAAAAGAAGTTTATCCATTTGGCAATAAGCATTCATCAGTCAATGCTGATAATATAAATGCTCCTAACTCCAAAAGGTAGGATATTTGTGAGAAAACAAGGAACAATTTGTCAAAGTAACATTACTAACCAATGTAAAGTGTTATGGAGCACCTACAAGGAAAAAAGCAACTTGTCTGTGATTCTTATCAGAAGCAAGCTGCGCAGGCGTAAGGCCAGTATTATCAGTAACAATCAGGTCTTCCCTTTTTCCAGCCTGTACTAACACAGTGCATGCCTCCAAATTACCCCTAATAGCAGCCCAATGAAGTGGAGTGCAACCTGAAATTTTCCAAATACAGAACATTTCAGATAACACATATTAATTATATATGCCAAAAGATTTTCCGAAATATAAGGGATGATTTCACAAACCACCCCAAGGTTTGCTCAAATTGTAGACAAATTGAAAGGCTTAAATTTTCTATCACTAACCACCCTCTTGTAGCTTCATTTCCATAAGACTTATTTTTTTCATAAACTACCGCTGCAAAGATAGTTTGTGATAAGAAAATTCCAATTTTTTCCATATCGTCTGGAATTTGAGCAAATCTCAGGGTAATTCATGAATTGACCTGGTTGGTGAAATTGACCCTTTATATAATTGACCAATGAAATTCACAGCAACACAAACGCTTACCTTCTTTATCCTGGCGTCCTCTGTATGCATCCAAAAACAAAAGTAGACGTATACAATCAGCAAAACCCTTGTAAGCAGCCCTAAATTTTTCCAAGTCAAAAATAAATATCATCATTTTACCAATTAAAGGAAACAATCAGAAGAATTCATTGTTTGATGGTTAGTATAACAAAAGTAAGGACAAAACATAAGTTAAGACTGACATAAAAAGAATGCGTATTCAACTCTAGCATGTTGTAAGCAAGGAAAAAAATATGAAACCCAAATATGGAGGAAGGGCTCAGACAATAAACTTGGTGCCGCTTCTCAAAACGTTTTCAACAATGCAAACAAAGCTGACATAAAGGTTTGGGGGAAGTTCTCATATACCAGTGTAAAGGACTTCTTCCATCATTATCAGGAGCATCAGGATCAGCGTTCCATTTTGAAACTATGTGATACAGGAAAGCTGTTTGACCATATTGGGCTGCAACATGTGTAGTCTGCAACCAAGTCCAGTTAACAATCAATATGCATCCATCATTTTGTTTTTTCCTTTCTGATAAGACACTAGCAAACCATCTTGACATGTTACAGGCTCGGAAAAAGAAAATGTATGGTAACAAGACTAAACAATGAATTATGACACTAATCACATGTGCCTAGGAAACTTAGTTTAACATGAGAAAATTGAAAATGTACAGTAGTCAGTCTCTGAAGCTTCAATTCATGTTTTAAATGTCAGTCCATGACACTTAACATTGCTTTGCACTATGCATAAGAATCTGCAGCTTAACAAAGGAAGAATGGTTCACCATCACATGAATACCAAAGTAAGAAAATAGCAGGAAGCAAAAACATCTTCATAATTTGAATAAGAATTAAAAAAATAAGAAGAAAAGATATGAGCAAGCACTAAGACGGGTTCAATTTCAACCCAGTCTATCGAGTTCTGCGCAAACCCATACCAATCAGGCTGGATTTCTTATTCCAAAGGTATAGATCAGGACTACTGTGGTCTCAAAGATCACCCCCAGATCCAGGGTGAAGGTGGGAGATATAATTTAGCAGCTACACCAGGCCCTAACCATATATTTTTACACAAGCACCCTGGTGATAGTTTTAGTTACTTTTAACCATATTCACATGGGCTAGGGTTTTTTATTCTCACCTGCCCTCTGCCTGCAGCCCATCTCCATCTCCATCTCCATCTCCATCTCCATCTTTTTTTATTCTTTTTCCTGTTAGGAAAATAGATATGTAAATTGATAATTTTGACAAGGGTATCACTATTTTCTTTACTTGCTGTGATCTCACATATCTGCCGATCTCCTCTATGTGTTAGTTTATTTTGGATACCCTGCCCATCTTCTTTAACTCCTTTGTTATCTCTCTACCTTTTGACTTATTTTTCCATCTCCCAGGTTAAAGCTTTGCAAAAGCCTCTCACCGTTGCAACACCAGAAATCCTCTTAAGTTGCTTTAAGCAATCAGACATGCAGCATATACTTCAGTAACATGCAGTAGAGCTAACAAGTAAATTTTGGAACCAATGCCAGCTTAAAGAAATCAAAGCTCTGAATATCTATCCTTATATCTACTTGAAACTACTCAGGTTGCAGCCTAAAGATATTCAAAAGAGAAATTTATAGTAGGGGCACTATGAAGGTTAAAAAATGCATCAACACACCAGCTCCCACTCTTGGTGTGAAGTTTGGTGACTGAAAACACTCAGAAACCAACAATTAGATAAAAAACACATTAGAGACACCAACTGGAAGTGTAGCCAAAACACAAAATTGGCTTATGAGATAGGTTCCTGAAATAAGAAGTATACAATAGTAAATTGTGAAGGTAGGAAAAATCAACTTGTGACCGATGCTGGGCTGGCAATAGGGTTTGAGTTTTGCAAACCTGGTACAATTTAACTTTGTTCCAAGCAGTTATAACCCAAATTAAGTCACCCTATACTAAATGAAAATCATAACATAAGAATGTGTTCCTCACTTTCCACTAAACAGACCACCACTTGCAGAATATCTCCATACTCTGGCTTCATTACTCACGCAGAAAACCATAACTTAACCTGGCCAACAACTTCTACGGCCAGATATTTTACCATTCTGGTAATATGAGAGAGAGAGAGAGAGAGAGAGAGAGGAACTCAAGGTCAAGATGCAAATTGTTTTCTTATCAATACTATATCCCACAACATGAAGATAAGGATTTTGGTCAACAATCCATGAATCTAATACAATGCAGTGATCTTTGGGTTGAATATGATACTGTCTTCACAAAATTCAAGAAATTTTTCATGCCATAGAAATTAATCAATTTTTTCCATTGAAATCATCAAGCAAGTTTGCTTAAACATAATCCACTGAATGGCAAGTCTGTGTCTGCTTCTGCTATCCAACATAATAAACACCTTCCTCATGTGGTCATTCAACACACAACATACAAGCATGCTGAAACCCACTCTGAACATACTTAGTTTAACTTAAGGAAACAGATGTAGAATGTGACCCTGTTTACTTTTTCAATGCAGACAAGATTTCAGTTTGACATTGCCATGACTTCAGAGCCTTCTGAACACCTTTCTTATGAGGTCATACCACCACAACATAATTATGAATTAGATATCCCTCACATGCAAAGAAAGCAAATATAAGTAGTAAGGTAGTCAAACCCAAGGAAAAATGTGCCCCTGCTACTGAAATACAATATTCAGTTCATAGAAACGCATGCATCTCCATTTGAGGATACAAGTGGAGAAGAGATTTGGTCCATGTGGGATAAAGTAAATTTCTGGGCCTCTCTTTGGGCATCTATTACTTCAGAATTCAAAGATGTTTCTTTTTCTTTATTCACCTAGCTAGGGAAGTTTTTGTGCATCTCCATAAAGTCATAACTAGACATATGAACTGATGTGAACACCAACAAAACTGCATATGACCCATTTATGTGATGTACATATACATGAAAAAAAATAAATAAATAAATAAAGAGGCTAACCTGATAGCCATAAATATCAGCCGCATTAACCCGTGCACCCTCTTGAAGTAGAAGCTCGGCAACTTGGATTGCACCTCGAACTGCACTCCAATGCAATGCAGTCTGCCCGGTATGATCTGCAGCATTTATATCTCCACCATGCTGCCATATAAGAAACCCAAAACAATTAATTAAATAAAATGAAACCATAAATCAATAATTCATCAATGAATTCCAAACTTAATTAAAAATTAATCCCACCTCAATGATATACTGAGCAGCGGCCGTCCGATTATTAAGCGCGGCCCACTGTAGCGCATAGTAGCCCAATCCATCGGGCTCGGAGACGGAGCAACCCTCGGACTCAACCAACCTCTGAAGCTTTTCCAAATCTCCATAGGCGGCGGCCGTGTAGACATCGTTCCGAAGACTTTCCTCGTCGACCACCACGTCGTTGGATTGGTGATTCTGCGATTGGGATGATTGGTCGACCTCTTCGACGACCTCGATCTCCGACGACATATTGAAAGAAGAAACGAAAATAAAAGAAAATAAAAGAGAATGAAGGTAATTACTTGTAATGTTAATGAGAAAGTAATGACACTAAAACCAGATCGTAAAGATTTGACTGAATTCAATAAGATTGGAAAATGTTAAGGGTTGACTTGGTTGATTTGAGGAAATTGTTGAAAACGTAAGAGATTAGGGTTTTTGGAGGAAGGAGAAAGGGGATGAGTTGACTGGGAGGTCGATGGATAAAGATGGGGAAAGAGAGAGAAGAAGACCAAACATTAACAATCCAACTTGCCTATGAATATCCGAAGTCGTTTCCTCAAATCAAAGACTGTTTGTTTGTAAAGATATGTTTTATATTTCTCAGTTTTCTGTTTGTAGTTTTCAAGGCTATAATAATACTATCTAAAGCCATAGGATCACCCGTTCATTTTACAGGAAATAATCGGACGGCTTTGGATGGCATGTAACGTTATTCCCGATTCCTCTTTAGAAATTAATAATTTATGAGTTATGACTTGAATGCAAATGAAAAATCTAGTGTAGAGTGTGATGAAAATTTCGTTTTTTTTTTTTCAATTCGCTTGAATCGTTTTGTGGGGGATGCTTGATAAGGTCAAAGCCCAATCAAGTTGTTGAGGACTATCTTATGCTAAGTTATAAACAAGTTGGAAAGATTAAGAAATACAGACAATTAAGAAAGGATCAACCAAATGATAATAGTTCTAGTCATTTGATAGAGACTTTTTGGCGTATTATTCAATAAATCATGAGTTCGATTCCTCATCGGTTATTAATAGCGATAACCATTTTTCAGAATCTCAGAGATTAGTTGAAGTATGTATAAACTGGTCCGAACATACTCGATCATTATTAAAAAAAAAAAAAAAAAAAAGATAACAGCACTAGTCTCTAAATGGTTAGCATAGGAAATTAAAAAACACTATAATAGCAATAAATTAAAAGGAACAACTTGTTGAATTTATGCTAACCATATAATGATAAATGACATCTTAAAAAAAATAAAAGAAACCTAAACAAGTTCTAACTTGTAAATCAAAATCTAGGTTTAAGGAAAAGGAAATGGAAGATAACGGAGAGCGTGGTAACTCCTCAACGGAAGATAAAAGTAATTTCTAGGGAGCGGGTAAATCACCTTGGGGAAGCACTCGTCATCCACTTGAGTAAGACTGTTAGACGAATCAAGCGGCTCGTGAACTGGCTCAGTTACGATTCGCCAAGGGCTCGGCTCGATTCGTGAATGGGTTGCAATCCGAGTTCGATCATTGCTTAGCTCGGCTCGACGGCTTGCGAGCCGAATCTGGCTCGAGTTAGAGAGGGTCACACCGAGGGTTTTTCAAACTATTGAGGGTTAAATGCAATTTGCAATTATTAAGCATAATAGTTTAAAAAATGACAAATTCCCCCATTGTAAAACTTGGTAAAACACGATCATTTACCCCCATTTGAAACAAAATCCCTAAATTGAAACAGCGAGCCCACCCAAAATTGACAAATCCTGATCAACTTGCACGTCGTCGCTCGTAGTTGTCGTGGTCCACTGTTATTGCCGACGGCATCACCTGTTATAGCTATTCTCTTCCTCGCCGTCGTTTCACCATTTCCGTCGACCTCCAAGTTCTCTTCATTGCTGTATACTTCTCTTCCTGCCATCAACTTGCCCATTGTTCCGCTGTCTTTCTCGCTATCACGGTAAATAAGTAAGGTATTATTTTGACTCATTTTTCTTCTTTGTTTTTCCCAATATGCATTGAAATGTCAAATGTGTAATGTGTTTGTGATGTGGATTATGCTGTTACATTTGTTGGGCATTCAGGTGTGTTGACTGTTGAGGATTATAGAAATGTGTCTGTGATGTTGCGTTTGTTTGGCATTCGAGTGTGTTGAGGATTATTGAACTGTGTAATGTGTTTGTGTTCTGAAGTGTGGATTATGTTGTTGAGGATTATTGTCTATTGAAATGTGTTTGTGTTGTGGACTGTGTTGTTGATGATTGTTGCATTTTATATGACACTCTTCATCCAAGCACCATTTTGTCCATGCAAATTTCACAATAACAGCTGAACGACTAGAGTGGATAAACCAAATGCACTTGGGGCAATTTCACAATATTGCATTTGGTTTTATTTCTCACGGTTGGCACTAGGCAGTTTAGTTTGGTTCCAATTATTTCATCTTAAAGGATTACTTGACTAGCTTGTCAATACTTGAACATATAGTTCTGAATTTTTCAGGAGGCACTCCACATATTTCCAATTTATTGCTGAATTAATTCCATATTTGTAGTGGCCATATCTTGTGTGTTTTTTTGGATTGTTTTATTACTGGATTTGTTTGATTTCATCAGGGGTGTTCCATCAAATATCAATAAGAAAAGCTAAACCCTTTGTTTTTATTTTGTATTATAAGTTTGGAAATGGACGGGAGTACCTCAAGTAGCTCTATAGAGCAAGATACAATTACAATTACATCAGGCAATAAACATACCTTGAATGAGACCACTATAAATACAGAACACAATGTTAGTAGCCTAGATAATGGTGGGCAGAATGACAATCCAATTCAAAGGAAAAAGAGAGCTAAAACATCAGTGGTTTGGACAGAGTTTAAGGAGGTGGTTCTCCCGAGGGTACAAAAAAGGCAGAATGTATCCATTGCAAAGCCAAGCTGTCTATTAATGCCACCAGAAGCACCACCCAGTTTAATAGACATTTAAAATGGTGTTCAAAGAGAATAGCTTCCATGAGGCAACAACACATTACTTTTCCCGTTGTCGGTTTTGATGTTGGAACTTTTGTTTTGCCTGCTTCAAGTGGAAAGTTTGACATCATGATGATGAGGGAACTGATCGTCCATTGGGTGCTTATGCATAGGATCCATTTTCAGTTGTGGAGGAAGAGGGCTTCAACAATATGATAAAGTATGGGATTCCTGAACGGAGTCTGGTTTCCCACCATACTTGCAAAAATGATTGTACGAAGGTATATGAGAGTGAGAAAGTGAAGTTGAAGATGTTGTTGAAGAATGTGACAAAAATTAGTTTGACTACGGATTTGTGGAATTCTGGCAATCAGAAGATGGAGTATATGGTGCTCACTAGGCTTTGTATAGATGGTAATTGAACGATGAATAGACGTGTCCTGAACTTTGTGTATTTACCTCCTCCGCATACTAGTGTTGCGATTGTTGACTCCATTTCTAAGTGCCTAATAGAATGGAGGATTGAAAATAATGTGTACACTATCTTAGTGGATAACGCTTTAAGTAGTGATGCTGCAATCAGAATTATGAGGGAAAATTTTGAAGTTATGGGGAATCTGATTTGTGGAGGTAAATTGTTTCATGTTAGATGTTGTGCCCATATCTAGAACCTCATTGTTCAAGATGGACTTTATTAGATTAGGCATATCATTGACGACATCCATAAGAGTGTCTTATACATCAATGCTTCAGAAAGTAGGATTAGGGTTTTTATTGACATTGTTCAACAATTTAAATTGCCATTTCGGAAGCTTATTCTACATTGTAAAACAAGATGCAATTCTATGTATGAAATGTTGACAATGGCAATTAAGTTTAAAAAGTATTTCCCAGGTTGAAAGAAAGGGATTCAAGTTATCATTACTGTCCACGGGACAAGGATTGGGAGAAAGTGGAGAAAGTGTGTGACATTTTAAAGGTTTTTAGTGGTACAACCAATCTCATTAGCAGGAGTGATTATCCGACATCTAATTTATTTCTAAAGGGGGCCTATCTAGTGAAAATGATGTTGGATAGTAAGAGCGACTATGAAGATGAGTTCATTAGAAACATGGTAAGGAAGATGAAGGAGAAGTTTGATAAATATTGAGGGGAATTTAATGTGTTGATGTTTGTGGTTGTTGTATTGGATCCTCGATTGAAAATAAGGGTAATTTAGTGGGCCTTCCCCCATATGTATTCTAAGTTAGAAGCCCGTGCAAATATTGTAACTGTTCGAGATGCACTGTATGAGCTATATGAAGAGTATGTTTAAGCTAATAAAGCTTCTATTATTTCCTGTGGACCTCCAATAGTAGGGGTTGGAGTTGGAACCATTGGTGAGGAGGCAATGGCTATAGGAGTCGCGACTTGGGATGATTTTAGCAATTTTCTGGATGTGGTGGAGACTGTTGAGCCAAGTAAGTCTAAGCTAGACTGTTATTTGGAAGAGGGGTGTCATAAGTGTGTGGGGTATCGTGAGGCATTCGATGCTTTACAATGGTGGAAGGCAAATTCAACCAAGTACCATATATTATCTATGATGGCTTGTGAGATACTAGCCATCCCAATCACTACTGTTGCTTTAGAGTCTGCATTCAGTGTCGGGAGTAGGGTTATTGATAGTTATCGAGCTTCTTTGTCTCCCGATACGGTGAAATTGCTCTTATGTGAATGTGATTGGTGTCAATCTTTGAATGGAATGAAGAAATAATGCAAAGTAAGTTCCATTGATTCTATTTTTAGTGCAATTCAATATTTACAATTATTTTATGTTAATCTAAACTTAATTTTTATTTCTTATTTCATTTAAGAAAGAGCAAGACCACTTGAAGATTGTTCTTTCTATCCTTTCAATTGACGGGAATAAGTAGATTGTTTGATTCCCCCGCATGTCATTGGTTGTGGCAGCAGGATTGTACAGGTTTAACTTAATTGATTTTTTGTTTGGGTTCACATATTCATCTTTATGTACTTATGTCCTTAATTGATTTTTTGTTTGCAGGAGTGGGCCAAGAATGGTTTCGGGATGTAGTGCCCAACGTACAGCCATTTTTTTTATGAAACATTATATTTTGATGTTTTGGGATTAAGTTTGTATATAGTCCCCTTTTTGTTTTAATGAAAGATGAATTAAGTAAAGTGAACCAAACAAAAACTTTAGTTCACTTCACTAACTTTGTTGAAACAGAACCAGTATGGCAAATGGTAAATAATATGATGAAATGATTACATGTGGAGATTGAGTT